ATCATTCCTCCAATGTCCATGACTGATGTTTGACTATAGTTTGACCTCACCTCCAGGTTGCATGTCAACTTAATGGCAGGCACATGACCTCAATATGATTATTAAGTCGGTGAACAGTTTTTAAAACGTCAATAAGTTGATAAATTCATTTTTGGTGACTATCCTCCGACTTTTTGAGACAAATTCGGGACCATCCATTGACTTTGCTATTTACTGAGGTTCAACGTTCAGGTCGTGATCGGCAAAGTTAGCGCCTGATTTTCCACGAAAGGGTTGTTTTATTTATAAATCACCTCCTCGTGCACGGACGAACGTGAATATGTATCCCTCAACAACCTTGATCGCCTCGAATTTTTCTTTGGTGGAACGGTGGAGTGTCGACTCGCCTCGGCTGATTCACAGAGAAACACGCTGTTTGGTTATGTTGGGCAAAGACTTCAGGAGTAGATACGCATTGTTTGTACATCATCAGGACATCATCATCATCCACCATGATCGTGTATTCGTGTTCTTGCTTTCCGCCAACGGGTGCGACTGGCGTTTTTCCCTCATGGCGCTTTGGTTGCCCTTGAGACGTCGTCGAAACCTGGAACGAGCGAGGCACCGAGGTAAACGCAACGCATATACTTATTCCTCAGAAAAGCGATTGGTATGTATTTCTGCTATCATTCCTGTGCGGCCCCGCAAATTTCTCATGGATAGGTTGGGAACTACATAATCAGGTCAAACATCTCTATCCCTCATTCCCCTGGTCGCAATCTTCTTCTTCCTGGAAGTGACTTAGCCACCATGAGCACCGTCGCAAACGACTCTCAGGGTGATGCTACCGACGCCATCGAGGAGCCAGAGAGAAAAAAGAGGCAGTATAAGGATTTTGGCCATGACGACGAGAAAGCAACTTGTGATTCATTGATTTTATTCAACTTGTTCTATGCGGTTCTGACGCGTGTATAGACGCCAAGGTCGATATGTCCACGGTACGTCTTCAATGTGTTTAATCTTGCTTAGCTCATACGAACGTGTGTCCCTGCAGATCGAACTAAATGCAGAGGATTTGTACGACAAGGAAAAAGTTGACTTGGAAACTATTGTTATCGACGATGTCTTCAAGCTCTTGCAGTGCACTGCGGAGGGGTTGAACCAAGAGGAGGCTCAACAACGACTCGAGCTATTTGGCCCCAACAAACTGGAATCTGAGGAACAGAATCCATTCCTTCAGGTTACTAGTCTTTTAGTTTCTCTAGGCGCATGTTTCTGATTAATTCTGCTCAGTTCTTGAGTTTTATGTGGAACCCCCTGTCATGGGTGATGGAAGCTGCTGCGCTCGTCACTATCGTACTTTCAAACAGTCAGGGCAAACCCCCTGACTGGCCTGATTTTGTCGGCATCGTTCTCTTGCTATTCATCAACTCTGCCATTGGTTTCTACGAAAAGCCAAGGTTAGAAGCGACGGCCAATGGTCAGAAATTGAGTCATCCATTCTCGTCCCTGGGGATATGGTGTCATTCAAAATCGGTGATATCGTCCCAGCCGATTGTCGTCTGACGGAGGCCATCAATGTTTCTATTGATCAGGCCGCTTTGACAGGTGAGTCACTGCCTCAGTCCAAGAAAACGGGCGACCAGTGCTTTTCGTGAGTCTATAATGTTTTCGGAGCACATTGTTCAGCGTCTGACGTCTTTTTTTTTTTGCGTTCAGGGGATCCACGTGCAAGCAGGGTGAAGCTGAGGGAGTGGTTATGTGATACGGAGTTGAGGATACGCGCAGGCACATCTTACGTAATCGCGTAGTTATATCGTTCGTACATTCTTGATGACCATTAGACATAAACCATCACTATCTTGCTACCAAGCTCGGTGATCAGCGTCCTATGTCCACTGCTGGTAAGACCAAAGGGTGAGCGCCCTGTACAATGCTCCCTCCTCCACAGGATACGAGAGCCCGTCCTCTGGGTTAACGAGGGTCTGCCTAGGACTTCTAGGCAACCCTAGGAGACGAGCGCGACCTCAACAGTCGCGTTCTCTCCAATTACTTCTATTCATCGACACTACACTATGACAAGCTACTACGGTACTACGAGACTCCATCGCACGAAGTCCCCGCACGCACTGAGGTTTCACATTGGTGGGGGCACCGCGGACTTCACATTCGATGTTGAAATCTCGCCTCGGGAGAATTCGGAAGCGGTACTCCGATCACGCCATTGTAAGTGTGACGCGTTACATACCGCCTCCATCGACTCCCTCGTGTACCGACCATTACCCATTCCCTACTCGTTGCTGAGCGCAGTTCTTCCTGCGTTCGCGCGAGGATGTCCAGGAGCGCTGCTACAGCGTTCACGGCTATTCGACTCCCTTCGGCTATCCAGATCCTCTGGATTACCGTAGTCGTTTAGCCCCTGTGAGATCTTTCACCCGACACCTTCACCCGTTCAGTCTACCCCTCTCCCAACCGACTCATTCCTACTTAGCTATGCCACAAGTCTTTCGGATGAAGGATCTCCCTCGATCAGCGTACGAACGAGCCGGCAAGAAATTTGCAATCGATTATGGGGCCACTCGCGTATTTAAGAGATGACACAGTAGTTCCGTCTCTCTCAGCTACACTACCATGGCTACCCCATCCCAATCCAATGCCGATCTCGTTGACTCCACCGACAAACCCAAAACTACCGGCCACTCAACTAGAGCAGCCTCCAAAAACCTTCAGCTTGCGGAAGAGAGCGCTAAAGGTGCTAGCACCTCAGCTGTTCCTCCTGCGAAGGGAAAAGCGACGGCCACGTCACCGATCGTTGAAGAGAGCGCTAAGGGTGCTAGCACCCCAGCGGTTCCTTCCGCGAAAGGTAAATTGGCGGTTACATCGCAAACCAAACCTATCAAGCCTGGGGCATCCTCACAGAAAGCCCCAGCTCCAATCCCTCTTCCTCAGTCGGGTGTCAGCGCGCCGCAAGGCAGCGTTGTACCGATTATGATCAACCCTCCTGGTCCGAACCTCACGATGCTGCAGGAGACAGGTCAAATCCTCTCGGATGCACCTTCCCTTACGTACTTAACTACGATTTCGAGCATCTCTACGCTAGGCCACAAGAGCCCTAGGGGATCCCAGCGTATCTTCGAAGGGATCCCGACCTATGAGGACGTCTTAATCTATGACGAACCCCTCTCTATTTCCTTAGCTCGTTACCATCCTCGTTTCAACCCCGCTGTAGATGATGACCCACTGATCTTCTTCGGCGGCATCGACGGGAAGCTCCCTGGGAAATCCCTGGAGGATTCTCAAGGAATTCGTGACCTCTTATGGCGATGGTCAGCGCCTCACGTCCAGGGATTATGGGTTAACCTCCCTACGATGATCGACAGCTTTCCTCAAGTTCGCTTAACCCCGGAATACATCCATGAACTCACAGTGGACTCAGTGAAATACTACTCGGTACCTTCCGTTCTACTGGAGGAAATAGCTCAACTCTACTTAGCTATGTACCAAATCCTTTGTGCCTTCCAGACTCTTTTGGGAGAAGGCGACTGTCAACTCTTCGCTTTCGACCCAGAATGGAAGATGCTACGTTTGTTAGCCTGGCACACCAACAAGAAAGATATCCTGCTTACCTTTGTAGTATTACAACGACGTTGCCAAGTCTGTAATTCGCACATTAATGAATACTTCAATGCCATGAGGAAGATTTTCCTGCAATCTGACGAACAACAATCGGTCAGCACGTTGTACTCAACTAGGCCATCCGTCCGTTCCCGATT